CATTTCTCCTTGAATCTGGGGCCCATAAATTTGGCAAGAGAACAAGCTCCAGGAATCTTTACATCCCTGCCTCTCTAGTGCTGGTATTACAAATGTGTGTCACTGTGTCTAGCTTTTTATTTGGGTGCTGAGATTTGAACTCAGGCCCTCAGAACTTTATTGACTGAACCATTTCCCCAATCCTAATATTTAGATTCTTGAAAGTAGACTATGTTAAAGGCATTTGCCAACGTGTCTACCAGTGACCTACTATATTTTCTACCTGTCCTATAAATGTTGTTAAATATCTGCTCTGCTGACTTTTGTTTTCCCATTTTCAATGCCAGTGGTTCTCAACTTTCCTAACACTGTGACCCTTTAATTCAGTTCCTCATGTTTTGGTGACCCCCAACCATAAATTTTGTTGTTACTTCATAAATGTAATTCTGCTACTGCTATGAATCATAATGTAAATATCTGTGTTTTCCAATAGTCTTAGGCTACCCCTTTGAAAGGGTCATTCCACCCGCAAAGGGGTCGTGACCCATAGGTTGAGAGCCATTCCTCTCCTACTATAATAAACAAACTTGTCTGTTAGGGAGAAATTACAATGAATGTCCTACAAGCAACTGGAAACTGCTTTATAATTGCACACCACTCCCCATTCTTTTATTTCAAGTCAGTCCCCCAGGCTGCCCCACTGAAGAGCATAGCCTTCATCCCACTGTATCTTCCTGCCTCTGGAAATCCAACAGAGGATCACATAAGTGTTTAATTGTTTTTTAGCCTCTTGTCCCCTGCATTCTTCATTTACTCAAGTTTTAAGTCTTCCATCAACAATTCTAAATACCGGCTCTGGTCTCTACATTCAAAGCGCTAAATTTTGCTGCCCATTCTGTCCAGTTATATGCACTTGCTACAAAAATTTCAAATGCATGTATTTTAAAGAGGATTCTTAATAAACTTTGGGAACCGCACAAACATTTCTGCCAAGAAACAAAGATCCCAGATTCCCACGGGAGACTTCCCACTTACAGGTCTGCATTGGAAATCTTGCTTCATACAAGCTCTAAAATCCTCAGGACTTAACCCCAAATTACCTTCTACTGAAGAGGTTGTGGTCATTCTTTGGAAGTACTTGAATTCGTTCCTGAAAGTTAGAGAAACACTGCGTTAACAGGCACTCTGTCACGTGTGCTCAGGATCCAGCTAAGCGGCGACCCGTGCAAGCCCGGGGGTGGGGTGGGGGTGGTGCTGCCCAGTGACCGGACTTTGCTCCAGGCCAGGGCGCCTCTGGGCAAAGGCTGGCACAGCAGGGGGATCACCGCGGGCACCGGCAGGGGCTGCAGCAGGCGGGCCTACCCGCTCTCCACTGTGTCCGCCAAGGGCTCGACCGGACTCAGCGAACCGCCTCAGTGTCCCGAACCCAGTCCGGCCATAGTACCTGAGCGGAGGCCAGGGCAGGTCTCCGTTCTTGCCGATGCCCATATTCTGGGACACGGCGACGATGCAGTTCAGCGGTCGAACCATGATAGCAGCGGCGATCACCTCTGCGGCAGCCCGCGCGCTAGGTTTCCCCTCCGAGTTTGGCGCGAAAATTGCGGGCGCTGCCACCAGGCGCCGCTTCCCACTCGTGCAGCAAAGGCCCGGCCCCTGCCAGGCCCCGCCCCGCATTCTATTTGAGCTTCAGAGGCTCCGCCCCTGCCAGGCCCTGCCCCGCACCCTATTTGTGCTCATGGGCCCCGCCCCCACAGGCTCCGCCCCGCACCCTATTTGTGCCTCGAGGCCCCGCCCCCACCAGGCCGGCCCCCGAACAGGTCGCGGCGTGCGCGCGCGCGTAGGCGCGGGGTAGAGCGGCCGCGCGCTCCCGGCGGGCTTGCTCTTCTGCACCCTGCGATGCCCCGCAGGAAGTCCGCGTCGGGCGGCCTTTCTGCCGCCGCCCAAGCCCCGGGGAGGCAAGCGGTTCTGAGCCGGTTCTTCCAGTCTGCCGGAAGCCTGAGAGCCACAGCGACCCCCACGGAGCCCGCGGAGAAGGTAGAGGGCGACTCTTCAGCGCCCCCAGCGTCCACTGCGCCGCCTCGGCCGTGGCCGCCGCGGCTGGGTTCTGTCCTCGACGGGGCGGAGCCAGGGGTGGGCGGGTCCAGACGGACAGGGGCGGGGTCAGGGGCGGGGCGGGGCAGGCGCGTGGGTCTCGCGGCCGGAAGTGGAGGCAGTGTGGCGAGCCTAATGGTGGGGAGTACTAAGAAGGGGCGGAGCCGGGGGGAGGAGACGGTGGTGACATCTGCGGGTCCATGTTTAGTTGAAAGGCTTTAATTACCCGATTAGAAGTAATAGATTTGAGGTCTTGTTGCCGCCTGTCGTAAACGGGAACCTGAGGCGGAAACTTCTATTTTGGTGAATGTCTGGGTCTGGCAGGTCCAGGATACATCTTTTAAACTCCATCGTCCCTTCTTTCCTTTACATCTTCCCTATTATATTGAAGGTTGAAGAGGAACTTTACTTACCTATGCTTGCTTGGCTGACTAGAACGAAGCTGTCTTTAAGGCTAGATTTTTCAGAATTCAAAAGCATCGCTCTGTATTTCAGATCACTGTGCCGGAACACTCTTTCCCAGTGTAAAGTATGATATAAGCATTTGGGTGGAAGAAGTTCCCGTAGATGGCTTATTGTTGGCTACTTCCTGTTGCTTGCAGCCCTTCAAATAGTTCAAAGCAAAGCAAAACCCAAACCAAAACCCCATAGTGATGTTGCCACAAGTGCACAAGTTCAGGGGATGTGGCACACTTGCTCAAGGGCGAGCGGTCCCTGAGGTTCCTGGTTTTTTGTTTGTTTGTTTGTTTGTTTGTTTTTCGAGACAGGTTTCTCTCTGTAGCTTTGTGCCTTTTCCTGGAACTCACTCTGTAGCCCAGGCTGGCCTCAAACTCACAGAGATCCACCTGCCTCTGCCTCCCGAGTGCTGGGATTAAAGGCGTGC